TTGTATGCCCAGACAATGTCAAGGTAGCTGGCACATCGTATGTACACAATAAAGAATGCATTAGTGCCTTGGCGAGTTATCCTTACACATCCCAGTTACATGTTTCCACTTTTCCTAGGACATATAAAGAAGCAGAATGGCTTGTTAAGGGAATTTAAGGCCTAGTGGCACGTCTTAATGCAAGGACGGCAAGTGATCTTTGGGGAGGAAGGGCCATAAGCACTCCTTCAGGCGCCTACTGGCAGCATACCTGGGACTGAGCAGGAGCTTGGAGGGATTGCAGAGGTGGGTTCTGCAGCAGCGCCCTACAGTGGGTTAGAGTTTCTCTGAGTGTCTGCAGGCTCTGCACTGCAGAGGAGCGGTGTGAAGCCACCCCAGCCTGCTCGGCAGCCACACAGAAGGTGGCCTGTTTGCTCCTCGTGCCTGCAGAGGTAGCCAGCACAAGGACTGACTCTGACTTTGCAGAGGTGTTTTAATTCAGCCAAAGAGTTGGACTTTCTAAAGACAACATGCATTTTACAGAGGGCCCTTTGTATGGAGTTACTGGGGACTCATTCAAAAATAACAGGAGCCCCAGTCTACAGAATCGTTTTGTCACAAGACACAGCTCTAGTCTTCCACCTCCTACCAGTGGGCCCATTTATATCAAAATGAATAAGAAATTTAATCCCTGGTTGTTGGGGTTTTTTTTGCTTTGGTTATGGTTTGCTCTGTGTGTGCTTTTTTTAAAAGCAGTATTTAATAATGTTTACATTGCCTTTAACCTTCGACTAACTTTGCAGTTTGTAGGCTGCTCCTCCCTCCTTTGAGACTGCTAACTTCCTATTCCTAGAAGGCATTTCATTCCCTTACCCATCATCTCTATCACTTCTGCTGGGAAGGAAATGAGACCATGGAGTGGCGGGCAATAGTGGTTGGAGTGACAGTTCACATTTATCCAAGGCTGTGTGCCAGGCACAGTGCTACATGATTTACTTCTATTATTAAATCCTTAAAACAACCTTATGAAGCAAAAGCTATTGTTGTCTATCCTCAGATGTAAGAGAAAGTGTTTTCCCCAAAAATTAGCCCTCAGAAAAGAGGGTGCCCCCTTATGTTTGAGTCCTGACAAAGGTTGCCCAGTTGTGGGGATTACCCTATTTTAGACCACAAAGTATTTTAAATAGTTGTCTCAGAATTATGAAAATGGTGCCTATTGTTTGGGATTGCTTAATATTCAAGCATATGCTGGTATTTTTTCCATGTTAATAGATGAGGAAACTGAGACTTGGCAAAGTTAAACAACTTGCCCAAGGTCGCATGGCAAATAAGTAAGAGAGCCAGGATTCAAACCCGGGCATATAATCTTACTTCTGCATCCTCATTATTAGTCCTCCTCAGACTCTTTCTCTCACCTTGGAAAAGGTTTCAGTCTAGGGAATCACTGATGGTTTTCTTCCTTCTTGTTGAGGTTTCGTTGTCAGAGCAGAGAAGATGGGATGGTGAATGCATATCCAGTCTGGAGCCACGCATTTATGGAGAGCACTAGGAAGCTCTAGTTCACCTTCTAGTGGCATGGCACTCCCTCTGGTTCAGCCTTTCCAGATGCTCACCTACCTCCCTTTGCCATTGGTGGCGAGTTTATTGCTTCTGGAGTCAGTCCCTTTTCTCGTTGTGGGTTATAGGAGTTCTTCCTCCTGTTGAGCAGAAACCGCCTTTCCTGGCATTCTCAGGCTAACAGAAAGGAGATCAAAAGAGCCCTGGGTTTGTCTCACCTGATTTCTGCTCTCCTTGCCTCCCCTCCTTCTTCCCTTCCCAATAAATATTTTATTTTAAAACAGTTTTAGATTTCAGGAAAGGTAAGCTATGTGCGAACATAGTACAGAGATTTTCTGTATATCTCTCAGCTTATTGTTAACATCTTACATTGCTGTGGTACATTTGTCAGAACAAAGAAACCAATACTGGTCCATTATGACTAAGTATAAACTCCAGATTTTATTCTGATTTTACTAGTTTTTCCGTAATATCCTTTCTGTGTTCCACAATCCCAAATTACCTTTAGTTGCTATATTTCCTAAGTTTGACCTGGTGTGTGGTAGTGTTTTAGCCTTTCCTTGTTCTTTATGACCTTGGCAGTTTTAAGGAGTACTAGCCAGGCATGTTGTAGAATGTCTCTCAGTTAGGATTTAGCCAAAGTTTCATCATGTGCTGTTGGGTTTGGGAGAAGGGTACCACAAAAGTGAGTGTCATTCTCATTAGATCCTATTAGGGGCGCAATATCAATATGACTTACCACTAGTAATGTTAACCTTGATCTTCTGGCTAAAGTAAAGATACTCCTCCCTTCCCTGTTTTTTTTCCTTTTTAAGATTTTATTTATTTATTTTTAGAGAAAGGGGAAGGGAACTAGAAAAAGAGAAACATCAGTGTGTGGCTGCCTCTCACTTGGCCCCCAGTGGGGACCTGGCCTGCAACCCAGGCATGTGCCCCAACTGGGAATCGAACTGGTGACCCTTTGGTTCAAAGGCCTATGCTCAATCCACTGAGCTATGCCAGCTAGAGCATTCCCACCTCTCCCCTTTTTATAAAAAAATTTTTGAAAAGCAAGTCATCATGTGCAGCCTACACTTATGAGGTGGGGGTATTAAGCTCTACCTCCAGGTGGTGCGTATCTACGTAAGTTTTGGGGAATTTTCTTAAGGCAGATTTTTCTCTTCTACATTTATTCATTAGTGCAGTCATTTATATCAGTTTGGAGTGATGCACAGTTACCTTATACTTTTTGAAACAGAGCCTCTTCATCTCCACATATCTCATGCCTCTTTAAGATGGAGCAGTATTCTTGACTTTGTATTCAACTCAGTGATTAACTTTTTGGAATGCATTAAGCAGATGAGAATGAAATTTTGGAAATTGATATTCATAGCTATTATCTAGCAGACAGAAATCTGCTAGAGTGTCAATAATAAGGGGTTTTGCTCTCTTGCAACATATCTTAGATTAACAACTTGAGAATGATGGTCTGAGGGCCAGATGCTAGGGAGTGAGTCTTTTCAAATGAGTATGATGATTATCCTACCGTGTTTTACTTTGTGTAAGTATCTTTAAAAAAATCCTTTTGTTCTGGGGAAAGAATCATAGGCCTTCTCTAGGATAGATACTAGATATATAATATACACTTGCTTTTTAGAAATGGGATATAAAGCAATGAAGGAATCTGTTTAATGTCATCCAAGGAGTTGGTTATAGAATAAAAAGAAAAACAAAAACCAACCAAACAAAAAAACCCCACAAAAACTGCAGCCTCCATGGCCCCTTTTTTAACAGGCCAACCACACAGCTTCTTTCTTCTAAATTGCTTTTGGCAGCTTGTAAAGCAAAGAAAGGACCCTTGAAGGTTTCTCTCCAGAGAATCCTGAGGCTGTAGGTTAGTTCTAGGATGCCTTCAAAACTTTCAGCTAGTTTCCTTTGAGAAGTGGGTGGATTTGTACTTGGTAAATCATGTCTTATAAGTAAAATATCCATTCTATTCTTTCCATTTGTATCTTATTCTTTCCAAAGATTTACCATTTTATTTTGTGTGGGACATTGTGAACATCCAATATTTTTGTGGAAATAAATGGTAACAGCTGTTTTGTCTGTTTTGTACTAAATAATATAATTGTGAACCTTAACCTTGAGATGATATATCCAGGTGTAGAAATGACAACTCGAAAAGCTCATCTTGGGGAGTTATCCCCATACAAAATCACATTCAGCTGCTTGTGGCCAAACTTCAGAGAGTTTCTGTAGGTCTTTCTTTATTCCAATTCTCCCTTATTCACATGGCTTTTCCTCTTTAAGATGGTTCATGTTCACCTATAAAACACACACCCCAAGGCCCCATTTTCCTTTCCTATTTTATTTTTCTCTTTTACTACTATCTAATATATATTTTACTTCTTTAGGCCTCTAATTGTCTGTTTTCCCTAAGGGCTGTGAGAGCAGGGGACTTATCTTGTTCGCTGCTGTATCCCCAGACCTAGAATAGTACCTGGAACCTAGTAGATGCTCCACAAACACTTCTAAGTGAACAATGTGAAAGTTGGAAGCTATGATCATTTGGCCCCAGGTTTTAATATAAATACAATTAGTTGGGTTTTATTTTATAGAGTTATTTTATATTATAGGTTAAATTAAATTACATTATTTAAAATGGGGATTTACCTATGCACCAGTAACCTCAGAATTTGTGCATAGTGCTTTGGAAGTTATGCAGTTATTCCAGTAATGCAGTGTTATTTTCACATGTGAGGAATTTTGAAATTCTCTCCTAAATATCGTTCATGTGATTGGTGGAAGAGCTAAAAACAAAAAAAAATTTTTTTTTCAGTGTTGAGGTGAATTACCTTCATACTGACCCAAAGATACTTTGAAGCCCAAGTGACATTACTCAGTTTGATCCCTTATTCTGTTCACTAGATTTAGGAGAAAATGACTTAATGTTATTTTGTAAAAGAACTCTTTCACACTGATATTTACTAATGTAGAGAATATTCAAAAGAGTATGCTGCAAAATCTGAGCTCATTTCTCTGAAGGAGTGTCAGCATTCATTTGGATATATGGATACTAACGTTTTATTTTTGATCATTTACTTTACAAATATATTACTTTTATCTTAAGTTTCTAGTGTCTGAAGTACTTGCATTTTTATTTTTAAAACTAGTGGATTTCATGTAACCAAATGCAAGATAAAATCATTGGGTCTGCAACTTAACTATTTTGTAAACTAGATCTTTTATATTATTTTTAGTTTTATCAACTAAATCTGTTATAAACTAGATCTTCCGAAACAAGCAACTCTAATGCTAATTTTTTTTTGCAGTATTCTCTCCAGGACAAGATATAAACAAATAAGGAGCAGTGTAGGCAGTGAACATCACAGACTTGTCTGCGCGCTGTCTGGACTGACATGGTGCGTGAATTACATCTTTGTACAAGATTAAACATGTTGTCGCATTACCACCTTTTATTTCAGAGCATCGGGGCGTCCACAATGTCTGGGGTGTTACATCAGCTGCTGCCCCTGATTAAGCCTTCAGATCAGAGGACCAGTGATGACTACAGCCCCGAAGAGCTGCTCATCCTCCTAACATACATTTACTCTGTCACCGGAGAACCCGCAGAGGACAAGGCCCTGGCTGCAGCTGAAGGAAAGGTGAAGAGAGCCCTGGCTCAGGTCTTTTGTGAGGAGTCCAAGTTGTCACCTTTGCTGCAGAAAGTCACAGGTGAGTGTCTGACAAAGATCTAGAACACAAACATCATTGATTCAGCAAACGGGTTTAAAAATAAAAGCCATTTCAGAAAGAGGACATAACCATCTTCACTGGAATGGTTTGGAACTTCGTAAGGTCTGATGAATGCTAGCTAGCTTTTAGGATCAGAGGTTTTCCTTTTGGATTTTTTTTCCAGTCATGGGAGTGAAGCAGCCTTCTAGTTGCTTGTCAGAATTCATGTGCCTTAGATCCAGAGCCTTGTTAAAGTAGCAAAATATTCATAGGGCATAATGTCTTAAAGGAAAATAAAATGTAGTGCATCCTATTCAAAGGGTTTCTGTTGACATATTCTCTTTGGTTTTGTCAGTTCAAAATTAAAACACAGTCTTAAGATATTACACAATGATGTGGGATTAAAAAGTTACCATATTTCAGAGTAATTTCCTATTTTGAATTTACATTTCATTCAATCTGGATTACTTGGTGGTATCCAAAATAATACCCAAACATCCCAGTAAAGTGGGCTATTTAATTTGGGAGAACTATATAATTAAATATCATAAAATCTAACTATTCACTTCTAGTAGGAACTGTGATATAACTCAGAAACATTCATGTGTTTTATTCTGTATCAAATTCAATATTTTTATTTATATTCTCTGTAAAGCTTATTTCTATTAGTATGGACTGAGCCTTGGGTCTGTTTGGGAGGGAGATGTTGTTATTCAAACACACATAAAACTGAAATACTTTAGAAGTGTACCAGGTTTCCATTCACTAATGAATGTGTGTGTGCAGGTGTGCGTGGCCCTCTCCATTCAGAAGGCTTAGTTGAGGCAGACTGTGTGTCTCCCAGTTCCTCCTCCTGGCCCCGCCGGACCTTCCTGGGAGAAGCACTGGGTTGCTGGGAAGCAGGCTGTGCAGCCCATGCACATGTGTTTTCCTCTGTGCCCACTGCTGACCTTTCCTCTGTTTGGTTATGGAAAATGAAACCCTGATGAGATGGAAACCAAGTGAAGTTTCCACAGAAATGAGACACTTTCTTGCTTAGTATAGAACCTGTCTGCCAACTCAGAATCTGCTTAAGGAAAACTTGTGGGATCTGTCCCCATTTCAGTTAGGTGCGGTACGCTGTATGATTACATGTGTTTGGCTGTAAACGAGTATGGAAACTTAAATGTGTTTTATACGGTGCTAAGAACAGTGATTGGATTCAAAGTAAAATTGAATTCTAGAAGAATTTAATTGGAAGTTATTCTTGAAATGCGTAATTTCAGAAACAGACAACAAAGATGGTGTGTTTTAGCCAAGGTTATTTGGATAGCTTTTCTGTAACATTAGTATGTGACTATATTATTTGGGGAATTGAGGTCATGCGCTAAGAGTGTTCATTTAATATTTGCTCGAGGTGTTTATTGACCCAGCATTTTGTTCTTTATTAGTTTCCCTATTTAGGGTTGCTCAGGATATTGCATTTTCTTGCTTTTAACTGTGCTTTCAACTTTTTAAAACACTTCTCTACATTCATGTTTATAACAGGAAAATTTGCAAGTTTAGCGGTTGAAGATTAAAAAATGAGAATTTGTGGAAATCTTAGTATATTTAAAAATTTTAAGAGCAACTTTATGTAATGCTGAGTAAATATTTCAGTTTAAACAAGGTGGGTAAAACATGCTACTTAAATCTGATGTAAGCAAACCTACCGGTGGAACCCATGTGCCTCGATAAACTTCTGTGCACACCAAAAGGACTTGATTTCTGAAGATAGACTTTGACTTGGCTGATCAGACACACCCTTATGAAGTGTGTAGTAAGGTCAGTCGTCCTGAGAAGTAGGGTTATGTTTACGGTTGGCTGCTGAGGAGAATGTTTAATCTACATCCCTACATCCCGTGATAAAAGGTAATCTGGTAGTGTTAGAGGTGTCATTAGAATAGGATGGAATACCCCAGAATGTACTGGAAGGATCAAATTGCTTTCAAAGGTGCTTATTGTGGAACTAGGTTAACCTAGTTTTTTACCTTGAACTTTACCTTGAACTTGTCCACAGTGTTGTGCCTATGTTATTCCAGTTCATAGTCTTGCCTTACTTTTTACTGGTTGGCAGAATTTATTTTATGCCTTGTGCACATTATGTGGTGGATGAAATTTTTTTTAAAAAGTATTATTGAAAACAAGTAATCAATATAAGAATTCTACTTTTCATAAAATGCTATAATTTTACTAATCTTAACTGTCAATAGGATCAAGAAAGCAACACTTTTTCTGCACTAAAAACTGAAGTATTTTATTATCATCAAACTGCTAAGTGATAGAGTCAGAATTTGAACCCTGGTGTTCCGGCTCTAGAGCCCATGTTTTTAAACATAGAATTTTAAGCCTGCTACAAGCTCACTTCCATTACCACTATTATTATATATTGTATTATATGTTATAATATATCCATTATTATATATTATATTCTCTAACTTACACTTGCTTACACAAATTTTTTAGCCCCACCCGAGAACATGCTTATTGATTTTATAGAGATAGGAAAGGAGGGAAAGAGGGAGAGAACATCGATCGGTTGCCTCTAATATGTACCCTGCCAGGGACCGAACCTGCAGTCTAGGCATGTGCCCTGACTAGGAGTGGAACCCATGACCTCTTGGCTTATGAGACCAGGCTCTACCAGTGGAACCACAGCAGCCGGGGCTACACTTACTGTTTTAAGTTATACATGCTCAACCATTCCACCATGTTCTTATTTTGTAAACAGTGAATTAATATTTGGTTAATGTAGATATTGCTTGTGCTTTTTAATCTTTTTATAATAGCTACTTATAGATGTTTCCTTGTATCTTCCTCTTTTTGTGCATGTACCCTCTTTGTTTCTGCTTTGCTATAAAGAAATTAAAATATTTCAGTCATTGAAATTTATAGGTTATCAAGTTTTTCTAAAGCAGAACTAGCAAACTTAATTCTTTTCATGTCAAGAATACCTCTTGACAATTATTGCCTTACATGTAAAATTCATATTTCCTTTTATATGTCAAATATGTAATTTAATTTAAACAATTTCTTTTATTCTTATTCTTTCCTTTGATGGAATGGACAACAACAAATTATAGTTGACAAAACAAAACAAAACTTCAGCATGGTCCATGGCAGGATGCTATTTTGTTTTCAATAGATACTTTTTGGGAGAGTGGTAGGCAAAAGCTCTCTTTTCTACTCATACAAAATAACAAGGGTTGGCTCTGCATGTCAGCGATGAGAGCTGGAGAAAGAAAATTGGTATGGCCTAAATATGTCGCTTAATGTTGTTCTTTCTGAGTCTTGCTAAGTTCAAAGAGAGTATCAGTTTCCGCATACGTTAGTATTTGCATGGCAGTCGCAAGAGGAAACAAAGGAAAACCATCTGAACTCTCTTCAGAGAGTGAAATCAAAATGCTCGTTTTAAAGATCTGTGCAGACCCGGAACGTCATCCTGCAGGAAAAGCACAGGCCTCACAGACAGACATCCTTGATTCAGAAGTCTTGGCTCTGCCATTTCCCAGCGGTACATGCGAGTGGACAAGTCACCCCTCTGATTATAAACACAGGTGCCCCGTGGACCACTCATAATTTTGCCAAGGATAAAGCAATGGTGTGTGTGTGAGCTAATTTTTGGTCCATGCAGTGTTGTGACTAGGTCATTTTTTTCTCCATTGATGTTATTATTTTGATGGCATCTAGCCATCATGTAGGGTAGTGCTTCCCACACTTATTCACACTGGGACACACGTAGACAGTGAGAATGTTTGCATAGCATACTGAGGTAGATGGACAGGACTCTGGTGGTCAGAGGCAGCCAGCCCTGGGGCCTCTGGCCACTCCAGGCCCCACCCAGTTGACCTGTGAACTGAAGTGGAGCAGCAGCTTGGCACACCTGGAACCTATTAGGGACAAATCAGTGTGCTGAGATTGGTAGGTTAGAAGGCTGTGGAATCAGAAAACAAAGAAAAACAAAACTTGCATAGGGTTTTTAACACCCAAAACTATTATGGAAAAATCTCTTTTTCATAAAAAAAATTTTATATTACTCATTGATTTATTTCCTAAATTTTTATACTATCTTTATTTTTTAATTTAATCTTTATTGTATTTTTCCATTACCTTTTAATCCCCTATACCCACCTCCCCCCAGCAATCCCCACACTGTTGTCTACGTCCATGAGTTCTTTTGCCCTTTTGCTCAATCCCTCCACCCCCTTACCTCCCCCCTCCCCAATTAACTGACATCCTGTTCTCCATCTATGAGTCTGTCCACATTTTCTTTGTTCGTTCTCTTTGTTCATTAGATTACACATATGAGTGAAATCATATGGTTTGTCTTTCTCTGACTGGCTTTTTTACTTAGCATGATGTTTTCCAGGTCCAGCCATACTGTTGAAAAGGGTAAAATTTTCTTCTTTTTTTACAACCAAGTAGTAGTCCATTGTGTAAATGTTCCATAGTTGTTTTATCCACTCATCTATTGATGGACACCTGGGTCGCTTCCATATCTTGGCCATTGTAAATAATGCTGCAATAAACATAGAGGTGCTTATGTTCTTTTATACTAGTGTTTTGGGTTCATTTGGATATAGTTTCAGAAGTGGGTCACAGGGTCAAAAGGCAGATCCATCTTTAATTTTTTTAAAGTATTTTGATACTGCTTTCCACGGTGACTGCACCCATCTGCATTCCCACCAACAGTGCAAAAGGGTTCTCTTTCTCTGAATCCTCATCAGCACTTGTTTTTTGTTGATTTATTGGTGATAGCCATTCTGACAGGTATGAGATGGTATTTCATTATGGTTTCAATTTCCATTTCTCTGATGATTACTGACATTTAGCATCTTTTCATATGTCTGTTGGTCATCTGTGTGTCCTCTTTGGAAAAGTGTGTATTCAAGTCCTTTGCCCATTTTTTATTTGGGTTGTTTGGGGTTTTTTTGGCGTTGAGTTTTGTAAATACTTTATAAATTTTGGATATTAACCCCTTG